AAAGTTAGGGAGTGATAGTGAAGAAGAATGGAAGAGGATATGGGGTGATGACCTAAGTGAAGTGAAAGGCAATGTTTTGAAAAAGCTATGGAGAAAAAGAGACAAGAGGCTGAGGGATATCAAAGATGAAAAAGAAAAGTAGGGATAAGGATGGGAATGTGTGGGATGTTAAAAGGGTAAATTAAAATATACAAATGTAGATGTAAATGTACAAATGTAGATGAAAATGTACAGGAGTCGAGAAGTAGCAATATAATATTGTGATAATAGATAGATAAGTTAGAATATAATAAAGTAGATTTTTTTTTGATAATATAATGTCCGTGATAAATAGTAACAAGTAAAAGAAATTAAAAATTGTGAAGGTTGAAAATTTACATCGTAAAATGTATAAACTGTAACTACTGTGATATTACGGTAAGAATATAAACAGAAAAAGGTTTGATATAAGTGCGGATAAGTATGGTAAAGATGTTCTTTTTTTGTAAACCAAGTCCTTTTGTTGGCAATGTAGCTGAAGTAACAAATGTCTATCTACTTATGGCTTTTCATCTCATAATTGTAATTTACGTTTGTTTAATCGTCAGCTTACTTATTTATCTAGCCGCTAGGAGAAGTGAGCGTTACATTACCGGTGTACTGACGTACACACAATTGACGTAGACACAAATGTACCATCTATCGTGGTTATTAGACGCGGACGAGGTTCGATTTCTGTTAAGGGAGTATAAGGTCTCGTTCTGGTCGATGTCCAAGCGCGGAAGAAAAACGCTCGTCGCTATTTTCGCCGATACACCTCGGACACCTTGTCGCGTCTCGTCAAACTCGGTGTTAACGTTCATTTAAATGTCGACGAGTCTCGCGAAGGTCCGTGGCCGGCCGTGTAAGGGGCTCAGCTTAACGACGCAATAATTACACGGCTCCCTTCCAAGTCGGAGCGGTCTCTCGTTTAAACGCGGGGTAATTTGTTGACTCTCGATTTGATGTGTAACTCTTTGGAACACGCCTGACATACTCGGCCCATCGCCGGCCGGGTTATCATTATCGTGATACGTGTAACAACATAATGACGTAAGAGCGAGCGGACTTTTCCGCAACGGCGAGCGAGCAGGGTGTGCGCGCGACGCGCAAATAGCGGGCTTTCATCATTCGGCAAATAATGCTGACCTATTTCGATTAATTAATGCGCCGCGATCTCCTGCGCGGCCGGCCGGATGATTGAGGATTACACATGCGAGCGGTAAATTGGATCTCGGACGGATATGCGCGAAACGTCGGAGTCGGCATTATTTAAGAGGCCGCCGGTGATTTTTCAAGCGGTTATTACGGCCGCGCACGCCTGTGAAATATTTATTAACTTTCGTCGATCGCGATTCGCCGTCCCAAAATTCGACTCGCCCCGTTTGTCGCTCCGGAGCGACCTGTGATTTGCGATCGATCGGCAGATCGCATGATTATCCGGCGCGCAGGCGTATTCCGTTCGAGTACACGCGCCGCTCGCTCTATCGAGCCTACGTGTCAATGTAAAATCGCAGATGATCCGTGACGCGTGATACGTTTCCTCGGGCGACGACGCTTTCTGTCGCGCAGAAAAACAAGTCAGGTGACTTTGCGAATAGCCGTCGCCGCCGCCGCCGCCGTTGTCGCCGCCGTCATCGATACGAATCTAACCGTCGTCGGCGTTCGTGGAAAATTATCAATCCGATGAAAAATGACGGTCGATCGAAGGACGGGAGGCACGTCGATTGGATCGGACAGTATATGGTAATCGTCCGCCCGGCAGGCCTTTCTCAATAGTACCGTCTCGCCGGCGACCAATGGCACTAATTACCGGCAGCTAATTATCGATGATTTTACAAGTCGCCAGTAGAATCTGTTATTTACCGTGAGACATGGTCACGGGGACATTGCTTTTTCGTAACTGTAGGAATCAAAATAAGTGTGCAATGGAGATTTCAGAATATAGGGGGAATTAATTAGAATATAATAATTGGGATTCAAGATTGAACTTGTGACGTGGAAGATGATAGATTCACCGCGTAACCCTTTGAGCCGTGCACTCAGGAAAAAAGAATACTTAAAAATTTATTCGTGGGATACAAAGTTTATTTATAGCAAAAAAACTTCATTTCTTAGAAATAAATTTTATATCTAATAAATAAATTTTCAAGTATTTTTTTGTCAATGTATCGGGCGTCCTACTTATCTCTTCTTCATTTTTACTGATTTTAACTAATTTATCAACAAACACAGTCGATTATATTATTACTATACACTCTTGCACAAACATAAGGAACTAAGAGAAAGTAAAATATAATTTGAACATTTAATTATTATAAGCAAATAAAGATAAAGGGAAAAACACTTTTTCTAAACAAGAATTATTGCTAACTATTAGGAATCGACACATCGAAATATTAATAGTTTATTCACGGTAACTAATAGTATTTTATATATTTTACATATTTTGTCAAAACTTTAATCCCTATTTTTTACAATAAACTATTGAAATATTAATAATATTTTTCGCTGCAAGTTTTGATCAAAACTGTTGTCGTTATTTTCAGAAGATGTTAAAAGTGAGAATACTAATGTTTAAAACTTACGGTTGTCATATCGAATCCGCCATTTCGAATTTTGACTTTCTGATTTTCTTGAAAGAAATCTACCAAGAAATAAAAAGTACAGCTTAAAGAATTAAGACGGTATTCTACTTTGTTAGGTTTAAAATATATTTTAAAAGTCTGAAACTTTGGGAATATGCATGTAAAGTTCTAAATCCAAATTCGTATATTTATCGAACTTACAGGTTGTAAACCGATGTGACGCATAGGTAGGAAACAAAGCGCGTAAGTAGGAAGAAAGTTCTTCGAGCGATTTACGAAGAATTCCTTTTTCAAGATTTATCGAAATGATACTTTAGAGCTTTGGCTATATCTGAGACAATAATGAAAGTTTCAACGTTGCGATATGACAATTCGCTTAAGAGAGCATATTTGTTCTATTTTTTAAATTATAGAAACTGCGGTTTTTTGCTGGTATAGAGCCTGCATCTTTAATGAACAATTTATACTCTTATTAAAAATCACGAGGGTGTTGGGAGTAGAAATTGGTTCTCTAGTCAAAATTCTCGCCAATCAGCGCGACGCTGAACGACTGAAGGTTACTGAGCGTCGAGGTTCATGCAAGTCACGGGAAGCCAGAATGGCTCATAAAGACGAGAAGATTGTTAAGGAAGACTTGGTCGGAGAGGCCATACTTTATGACCCCGAAACAGCTGATTAAATATAAGTAGCCGAAATCCATAGTTAAACATAGCTAACAAGACTTAAAACTTTAAATTCGTTTCCTTCGGAACCGCATTTTTCAAGTTTACATTTTCAATGATGAACTATCAAAGATTCATGAATCTTCTTTAAGATTAATGATTCAAAATTTTACATTGTTCACAAAATGGTAGAGGAATTTTTTGTTCTGTTTAACCTAATCTACCTGTACTCGCGGCTCTTCTGTGAGTTACCGGACACCCTATATAATTTAGTTACTTATCGGACTATAACGTAACGTCACGAAGATTACGCGCGCGCGTATACACAGTAGCGCTGGTGTGTTACGCGCGCGTTGCGTTTCGCGTAAGCTTGAAGTGCGTTCGCTCGCGCGCGCGTATCATAAATAAATCAGTATTCGAGCGATTCACTCGAGGCGTCGTTTAATGGAAGGCCTGCCCCGCGGAATGTAATTCGCGCCGCGGATTTCCCCCCCCCCCCCCCCCCCCCCCCCC